AAAATTTTTTATATATATATATACACACACATATATATATGTCTGCCATGTGTTTAAGGATGAACAGGGACTGGCTCAGCTCAGAACAAACCACCAGCTTCATTGCCTGGAGCCAGCCATGCTTCACACTGAGCCAAATCACAGCCACATTCCTTCTGTGCCTATTGCACACAGAGAGAAGTGTCTTACACTGGCAGCTGTTAATGGACTATCACTCCAACTCCACGCTCATTCCTCAAAAGCTTCATGTTGGATCATTTAGTCTGGACAGTATTTTTTTCAGACAGTAAAAAACCCCACAAGTTATTTGTAATTAGATATGTTTACACCCTGTGGACAATAGTTTCACATAAAACAAATCTGGTAAACTTGTCAGCAATAACATAGCTAGTAAAAAAAAAAAAAAATAAAGGACCATTGTTTACAGTCGTGATACCCAGTCATGTCCACTTATTTTACACTTATTTTTACAGAATGATTTCATGTTTGCTGATTTGTTTTGAAATACATGGGAAATAAACAGTGCTACTGTGCAATAAAATTAAACGGATACATCATGCTGTCCTTCATCCAAGTGAAAACAAGACTCGAGTGGTTATTTCTTAACAGTGAACTGCAGTTCAGGGTGTTTCCCTGCTCAAGTACAAGAAGTTGAGTTACAGCTAAAAGGTTGTTTCTGCACAAGCATTAAGTCAAATGTGTCACATTGGAGAAAAGGCAAACTGAAGGCTTATTTCGTTTACTGGAAAGTTCCTTTTCCAAATGAAAACACTTGCGGAACAAATCACATCCTAGAACCATTTCAAGAGTTTTTGGGTTTTTTCTTTTTCCAATCTGCCACTGTTCCTTTTTTAAGCAACTGCTTGTTTCTACAGCGACGCAAAAGGCTACCCGAACCATCCTCCTTTCACAATGCCTCAGACTCTAGATGTGCCAGTGTTAAACACCCCAGGTTTCAGTCTCGGGCTAAACGTTGGGAAGACCAAGAGCTCTGCTGTCAAACAGAAGTGACAGTCCTCACTTTGGCAGACAAAGCTTGCTTAAACCTTCTCTTCAGATCCTGCATGTTGGGCGACTTTGGCCGTGGAATAAGAGAGGTTCTCCTTCTCTCAGGGGTGCTGGTTGTTTGCTGTTTACTGACTTCTTTACAGAGGAGATGGAAGGCATTGAAGACATCGTTATAGTTTTCACTGACAGACACTTCATAGAAAGTACAGCCCAGCATGTTGGCCAGCTGAAGTCCATGCTGAGGCTCCACCTCTTTGATATGCAAGAGATCAGCTTTGTTTGCTACAATGACAACAGGGACCGTGTTTCCTGGATGCAACTGTCGGACGTGATGGTAAAGGTGACTGAGTAGTTCATAGCTCTTGTAGTCTGTGATGGAGAAGACAATCACCAGGGCATCTGCCCAGCGAATGCATCTGTTCAGCTGCTCATTACAATCCAGGTTGTGTTCATGGATCTGAAAAGTGAACGGTCTCAAATTAGATAGCTGAAGTCATAAAAGATTAAAGGAACCTGTCTTTAAGAGTCAGTAAAGCCAAATAGCATTTTACAGCTTCAGCCATATATATTTGCATTTCACATTTAAGTACAAACCTCATCTGAGCATAGCGAATAAATGCATGTTGATTCAGCTGCAAAAAGCTGGAATTTAACACTGGAGTTTGCTATACTCAAATGGAAAATTGACCTGAGTAGTTCTGCATGCAGAGAAAGACTTTGTAGTTCCACAGAATGGGAAATTAACTGGCTAGACAGTAAGTCTGGGGAAGCAAAGATATGAGCTGGAAGCATTTAGACCTGGAGTGTTGCCCAGTTCAAAAAGGCAACAATCCAGCATTACTCAGGTCTATACATTCAAAACTTTAACTTGCGACACACTAATGAGCACAGCCACAATATAGCAGACCTCGCCTTCTAGCATACCCATTTATGAAGCTTGTTGGGCAGCAGTCATGACATTTTCTTCCACATGTACCTTATTTGCACAGAATTGTTTCTGGGTTTGTGTCTAACATTCCCAATATACAGGAACAAGACACTTAAGCAATTCAGCCACTCAAAAGTAACGGGCCTCCAATGTACAAATGATTCATCAAAACAGTTGTTTTCTTTTACTACCAGCATACTACAGGCACGCAACACATCTGGCTTCACTGGCTAAAGCAGAAGTTACCACCTCTCCCACACGGAACACCAAACTCCAAAATGGATCATAACAAGACGCTGCACACAGAGGAACACAGGCACACGCACAGATTTAGAGCTGCTTGGGTGAACTGCGTGGCTGCATCTAGCTCACCTGAACTCCTGGAGTATCTTGCACTTGAATAGCCAACATCTCTCCATCTATCTGGATGTGCCTGCTGTAGAGATTACCTGACAAGAACACCAACAGGTTCACAAGTACAGCCACCACTCTACACACAGACAAATGTTGCTTTTGCCACCCATCAGTTGTGCAAGAAAAGTTGTATCGCTGCTTATGAAGTCAGGGACTAGCGTTGCAAATTTTTTTTGTGCGTAACAACCCATAAGTTTACAGCTGTACTAGAAACCTGGGATTTAATCCTGCATTGACTTGTTTAGAAGCTTGGCATCTAATACTGTGCAACTTGGAACTTAATCACTTCTTAACGACTGTCTTAACTCAGATGATGAAGGTAAGCATGCAAAATAACCAGCTATTATAGGAAGGCCACTTGCTTGTCATTCAGTGTGTTTTTGCACTTTAACAAACCATTTTTCTAAAAAAACCTCTCTGCTAGCTGACCTGTTTGTTGGGGTTGTTTTTCTTCTTTTAATCTGTTTGGCTTTTTCGAGTCATTGCCTCAACAGAATGCTGTCTATTTTACATTCACGTTAGTTTAGGCTTCCCACTGTACTGCACTCAAGCAAGTACGTAACATCGCCTCTTCGCTTTCCCCATCAAGCTGGCACCGTCCAGCTCATTTAGCTGCTGGCATGCTGTTTACAAAGGGTAACACAGTATTAGGTTTAGAGAATGTTTTCTTGGTTTAGCTAAAAGGCTTCTTCAAAGAGGGACATTTTCACTGCAGGACGTTTGTCCTGGTTTTGGCTGGGATAGAGTTAATTTTCTTCCTAGTAGCAGGCATAGCGCTGTGTTTTGGATTTAGCAGAAGAATGTTGATAGCACGTTGATGTTTTTAGTTGTTGCTGAGTACTGCTTATGCCA